TTATGTAATTTATTTTTGACTTATAATGTGTTTGTCTAATGTTTGTATAATGTTACACGTAATTACATTCATCTACACTGTGCTAAGTCTGTAATTGGCCTTGCGGCTGTTGACTCGGCACATTAATAATAAAGAATTGAATAGAATTGAATAGAATTATTATTATCATCATTATTAGTGGGGGGTGAGACTGAATCCACTTGGTACTGCGGCCAATATTGGCCTATCATACCAGCCCCAGATGATAGGTGAGGGTGTTTGTGGAGCAATTGGTGGAATGAAGATTGTCAGGGGAAAGTGAAGTACTGGAGAAAACCTGCCCCAAAGCCACTTTGTCCACAACGAATCCCACATGGCCAGACCTCTGCTTGAACCCGGGCCACCACAATAGGAAGCCAGTGACTAACCACCTGAGCTATGGCATGGCCTATTTCATACCTAAGTTCCATATTTAAAAAAAGGGGGCGATCAGAAAACAGATGACAGGCCTACATGACATAAAATAGATACCTCATTACTACATAAGAATTTTATTAGATATTTTTAATACTGTATATATTTAATGAAGTAACATGAGAAATGGTTTATGATTCTATGCAATGTGACATCTGGAGTGGATTACCCTCATAACAGCACATTTGGAAATTAAGTCATTGAATATCTAGACCCATGAGACACAAAAGATCACAGATAAATCATTCAGAAAAAATGTGTATTTCAATTTAAGTTACACCTTTCAATGATTTCTTTTTTAATAAAATACTTGTTAAAATGATGTCTTTTCTCTTTTGGCATTTCTGTGGTTATGGTTCAAACATATGTTACAGCTTTGAATTATATAAAGAATTATTATTTATTGTTTGAATGTACAAATCTATTCCAAATTTAATGAGTAGCAGCTTTATCTGAAATTCAAAATTAAAAGCTTTCAGACTTAGTCGACTGATCCAATCTAAAGAATCAGAAGCAAGAATAATGACAAATGTAATGTAAGTAGAAGGCTGAAGGATCTTAATTACTAGCAGCAAATACTGAGCAGCACATTCACAAATACAAGAACAAATACTACAAGAATTATGTCATATATCTCTCCCTCATATCTTAATTTGTACATGTCTGTAATTTATTTATAGCTTAGGACGTTTGGTAGATATGAAGTTACAAGCAATTCCACTGGCTTCTCTATATTTTGCATTTTCATTCAACACTTAATGTACATAAGAATGACAAGATCCTGAATGGGTATTTGCATGCTTACAGAACCACTATACTAGAAAAAAGTGAAACTAAGTTTAAAGTAACCAATAATTATAGTTTGAAGATATGAATGGAATAAGGAATGACATAAACATAGATGTGTGGTAAGATTTTTGAACGAGAGTTATGTCAGATAAAAATGCTTTGGAGAATAATGCCTTCAGACTGTAACTATAATTTTGTTGGATCTGAGATTCTCACAGTGGTGACTAAGAAGAGCACAGTCTTTTGGGATGTGAAGCCGTGTAGTCTGGTAGAAGTTTGGTGATGGTTCAGAGGAATGTACAGCCTTCATCTTTAGGATCAGAGAGTAAGCCAAGCCAGCATTCAGAAAGATCTGTTTGCCACTTGTTTTTTTTGCATGTTGCTTGCTTGTGTTACTTTTCAGTCATGAAGAAGAAGGCAGTACATGCCTCAAATATGTTGATGAAGTTCTACCAGATTTAATGACATTGTATTCCAGAGGATCAGTAGTTGGGATAGCTCAGTCGGTATAGTGATTAGTCTATGGGTCGGACAACCAAGGAGTGGATGTTCGATTCATGGCAGAGGCAAGAGATTCTCCAGTGTTCAGACTGTTTATTGTAAACAGTTAAGCCAGTCTGCATGTCTTTCACATTTAAACTTCTGCTGAGGAAACCTCACGGAAATGTGAAGTTGAAAGACCAAGACAGATAATTGTATAACATTAGGACAAATCTTAGAAAAGTGGGTTGTGCGGATAGGAGGTGGATGGAACTGGTTCGGGAGGTGGCCAGCTACTACACTATTAGCCTGTAAGCACTGAAGTTCACTCTACTTTAAAGTAAGCTTTTACCATCTCTTGAAATATTTCCTTCATAATTTAGACAATAAAACGTTAAAAAAATTAATTTATCTAATTTTTCTTCATAATGTTTGAAATAAAAAAATTCAACCCCATACTGCCAGTCGAGCTGAGAACACACTCTGCCAAACATATGTAGAAAGTGTATTAGTGAGGTGAGCTCATCTCCTGAACATAGCACCTTTCTTACCTTCTCTGTGACTGTCGGAATGAAGTGATAACCACACCTGCTTTGCTGGAGTTTTGTGGGGAGTCATGCTGGAAGCTTGCCCTCTGAGACATGCTACCTGCACCACCTTCTGAGTCCTGAATCGATCTCCTACTTGCATAATAGGTCTGCAATTTTAAGCAATTATAATACAATAAAACACCACTCTGTTACATATTTTCTGACTGAAAATTATGATGTCATTAATTCAGTGTTTCACATAAAAGCGATAAGAAAGAATAGAAGTCAATAAAAAGTTCGTCGAGTGACTTTGCGATTGATAGTGTAACGGACCAAAAATGAAACAATTCAAAATAGAAAGAATAGACATTGAAACGTGCAGTACATTTATACACTGGTTAAACAGGAAAACTGACCTAGGCTGACCGTATTGTAAGTGTAATTGTAATTTATTTCAAGTTCCAGATGATCCAATAAAACTGGTTACAAACCATAGGATATAGAACATGTCAAATATTAGTTATCTTAATTTATTTTCATATAACACGGTATTACAATAATTTATTTCTAAAATTCACTTATTGGGAAACAGTACTCACATAGTTGTAAAATTCAGAAGTAATAATTTCATTACAACCGTTTAAAAGTCATGTTCAAGTAGAGGCATGAATTTTGCTCTTTTCTATACTATCTTGATCAAAGGCAAACTTTATCATGTAAACTTGCATCTACATATCTCCTAATGCAACATTTGAAGTGTAACTTTTTAATGCGTTTGTGTCAGGCAATGTGTGTCTTCCCATTTCTGACTTGATCATAGGAAAAACATGTCACTACAACAAATAGTAACACTACAAAAAACACCTCAAAATCCTGACTGTGCTATACCCACTATAACCATCATAACTGAATTACTAAAGAGTAGCCAGTGAATTTGCTTGGCTCCCTAGTGCACATGTGCCCTAACTAAGTTCAGCTCTGTTTGGCAGCTAATCCTGTATATATCACTCAGTTTCCTAACATGTATATTTATCTTGCATTTACCTGGATCACATTTGTTGTGATGGAGGCCGACCTCGAGCTAGTACCAGCTTTGTGTTCATGAGTCACAGATTCAATGCCTAATTCATCAGACAGCTGAAAATCATCTGATTTCCCCTTCTCCTCTTCACATCCATCCCTCTTGGCCTGCCCCTCAGATCCTTTCTGTTTTGTCTGTGTACGAGATAGTCGTCGTTCTGATTCCAGAATTGGAACTGATGCCCGTTTCTCCTCAGTCTTAAACTGCACACTTGTACCAGTAGCCTTTGTTTGTTCTTCAGTACTCTCCTTTGTAACAGGTGACATTGCTTTCATTTCTTTTCGTTCTGTGGGTGTGTCCTGTTGCTGTTTTGTTTCTGAGTCAGTCTCTGTCTCAGTTTCTGTTTCTGGCTCTGTCCGTGGAGCGTCATTGTCCTGAGGACTCGTTTCAGAGTTGTTTGACCCAACAAGGGTGACATTACTGAGATTGCTTGGTGATGATGGGGCACTTATCACTGTGTTATCTATAAACAGTAGGAAAATTAATTTAAAAATTAATTAAAATAATATGTGCCTTGTTAAATAAGAAAGGGAACACTGATGATTTGTAATCTTCACCTTGTATTTTTAAGGGGGCAAGATCAAATGATCTGCAGCATGCATATGGGTATGGGTTATAGAAGTGCACAGAAAGACAAAGAGCCTCTAACAGAAATGAGTACCAGGAATATTCTTGGGGCTAAAGGGAGGCCAGTGCGCAGGGCTGACAACCTTGCCGCCACCTGTGAGCCGATTGTCTAGAAAATGTGGGGACCTCAACATCTCTCAACCCTATGGGCCTCCACGACCTGTTACAGGGATAGCTTTACTTTACTTTATTATTACGTATACATTTTATTCATATTTATTTTAAGGTTCACTTTACTTGAAGGCCTAAATGAACCGTCACATATATCTTTCAACTCCTGTCACAAAAGCCTTTGTCACCCTATGGATAGCAGACCCAGTGGGGCAAAATGCATGTCTGAATGTTGTGGGAAAGAGAAAAATATCTGTCCTGATGAGGATCAAAACCTAATGCCTAAGTTGTCCAGCCCACAGTATAAGTCACTATACTGAGTTATACGTTTCACTTTTATTTTATTATATTTTAAGGACTATTTCACTTAAAGTTCTATATATTTAAAATTCCTTCTCGTATTTTGTTGAAACTTGAAATATGACACCAATACTAGAAATACAAGGGGGGATCCAAAAATAACCGGAAACGACCTGTTGCGTGCGCATGCTTTGTAGTTACAAGTTGTGCTGCTAGGTGGTGTTAGCTGGGGGTCTCCCGCGACTGTTAGTGAGCTGGCGTCAGTCTGAGTTAAGTGGTTTGTCTGTGGTGCTCTGTTGTGTGCGTTCCAGTTTCAACCCTTTGGCGATTAGTGAGATGGCCGACCAGAAGGAACAAAGAGTGTGCATGAAATTGATGAAGATCGTCGAAAGACCATTGACCAACTTTCTGAGGAAAGAACATCTCATGGAGCATGGTCCAGCGAATTTTAACCGAAGGTTTGCACATGAGACGGGTGTCTGCAAAATTTGTTCCTCGCTTGCTCGGAGATGACCAAAGAGAAAACCGCGTCAATGTTTGCCGCTACTTGAAGAGTGAAGTGCAGTTTTCCCTAACAGAAAGCAAAATTTCACGCACACTCTTTGTTCCTTCTGGTCGGCCATCTCACTAATCGCCAAAGGGTTGAAACAGGAACGCACACAANTTCACTTTAATTCATTCTGAGGCTGTAAGTAACTTGACAGAGTCTGATAAAATTTAATATTCAACATTCCAATTGCTTGGGTATTACCAATTTTAAGAACTAGATGGCAGACAGACATCATGCCTTCCCCATTTTGTTAAATTTATTTTAAATTAACATGTTGAACATGGTAATGAATTTTGGGTACTATAAAATGTAAGGAATTTGACTAGTTGAGTGACTATTCGCTTCAAAAGGACTCTGCTTGAGCAAAATGCTGTGGTTGTTAGGGCACCAACTGGTCTACCAGCCAAACCAGATTAGGACTGACAAAGCATAACACAGAAATATCAACCCTTAACAATACAATAAGGTTGGCTTTTATTTTAAAATATGGATACCACCAATACAACTAAATTACTGCCAGAAATGTTGCATTAAGTTCCTTGCATTCTTTCCATTAGGGCACGCAGTAGTGTAGTGGTTAAGGCACTATGCTACAAGTCCCGATGTGGTCATTGGATTTTTTTTCAGTTGACCTAATCCTTCCAGCCACACTATGGCCATGGGGTTCACTCAGCCTCCAACAGAAATGAGTACCAGGAATTAAATAAATAATTTTCCTGGGGAGTAAAGCGCGGCCAGCACGTAAGGCTGACAACCTTACTGCCATCTTTGAGCCGATTGTCTAGATAATGTGGTACCCTCAACGTCTCGCAACCCTATGGGCCTTCACGGCCTGTTACAGGGATAGTTTTACTTTTTACTTATATTCTTTCCATTATTACAGATAAAGGAATCCTAATTTTGTATAAAATAATATCTCAAGGACTATAGATGTAAATTTTTAATGGAGACTGTATGGATGGAAGGTACAATAGATGCATATGAGATGATAAGTGGCATCCACACTGCTAATTGAATCATGCTTCTAACAAAAATTATTATTTCACTCACCAGTAAGAGTCTCAGAACTTGAAGACACGGCAATTGTCTTCGGAATGGTAAGATGACGCCCATCGTCTTCTGTTTCTACACGAATACTCACACTCTTGCGTGGTGTGGTACAAGGTGAGGGATGGTGTGTTGGACTTTGTCGGATGACTGGGGGGCTTTCTTTTATCAATGCTAATTCCCTTGATTCCTCTTCAACTGTTACATAAATAAAATACATCCATGTAAGGAGAGAAATTGTATACTATTTGATTATATTTTTGATAGGAAACAAACAAGATTATTTAAATATATTTAGGCAATAAAAGAAAAGTTGTACTTGACATAACTGAAAAAACGAAGAAAAAAAATAAAATACTAGGTGGGTTTTTCAGCTTTTAAAAAAGACTTAAATCCTTTTTATTGAAACATTCTTTTTATATGATAAATTAATTTGTTAGTTTTAATAAAAAAGCAGATGGTGCAAGGACTTATGTTTGGATGTCATAGCCATTCATGAGCTGTATATAGTAGTTTGTGTATTTTTTGGAATGTTGTATTTATATATTGCTTATGATTGTAACAAATGTTGGTAGTATGCTTGTAACTTTGTAGATTTGTTTTGTTAACTTGTATTACCAAATGACTTGTCCAAGTGTTACTATGTAGCAAAATTGATGAAATAAAATACAATACAACACAATATATTCTGCATTCATAGTTTTATAACAAGAAAATACACGCAGTATAAAAAAGATATACAATTCAGAATTTGGATTCCAGTACTGGTGACTGAACATAAGAAGGGTAGGCATATTTTATTTTTTGCAATCCACTGTTAAATGTTACTTGACACATTGACCCAAACTGGGTATGTAATCAAAGTAGAAATACCCGTAATAGTAAGTTAGAGAGAAACAAACCTTATATATTTCCCATGCTAAGAAGGAGGGTAAGAAAAAATTAGGAATATTATTAAGTCAGCCATGTCAAAGTGAACCTGAGCATAATATTTTGCTACAAGGATAGCTGGATGTAGAGCATTTGAGGTTAAAATGTAAATGTAGAGATATAAACACTGAAAAATTTTAAAAAGCTAATGGAGCACTTCTCTATAGGGGACTATTGAGAAGCAGCATTATAAGCTTCATGTTAACCCACTTACACCTGCGGAAGCTGCATCGCCAGTGCCCCTTGGAGAATGCTTGAGAATCATAACTATGGCTTCGATCACGATCACTCATCTCTGAACCATAACCTGAAATGGTGCACTTGTATGAGAAGGAAAAGACCACTGATCATTATTATGCAGGAAGCTTGCAAATGGAAGCAAAACTGTCAACCTGTATGATGAATATGTCAGGAAGATTGTCAATTGTGATGACACAAATTTAGCAGAACAACTGGAAGTATTTAAGCATAACAATGTGAATGGATGATGCCATGATTATAGAAAGAGGTAGGTATCAAAGAGTATTAAGATAATAAAAGAAACAATATCAGAGACCTAAGAAATATAAGTCACCTTCAAACCTTCTAAAAATAACAATCTTCAGTGTTGTTTGCATGAGTTCTCATATTTCAGAAGAAAAACAGTTTGAGACAAATCACAGTTTCCATCTTTTTTTTTTTTTCAAGGAATTGATTCAGATCACTCCAAGCAAATCTATTCCATCTTTTCATATATCTTGTTGGATCCTCTTGGATGATATTGTAGAATATATTTATAAATTCTTGCATCTATCATTCTTACTGAATACTTAATTCCTAACTGTTTTAATTGAGTAGTATACCCTTAAATCATTGCACCTGACTTGTTCGAGATTTCATTCTTTAAAATTATGTCCAGTTTTAAAAAGATAAAGCTGCAAATATTTAGTTTCCTCTGTTCTTCTCTTTTCCTTATTTATTCTTTTACTTTTAAGAATGGCTTACCAAATATGCTAACTTGCTTGCAAAATATATTATTTTAACTCAGCTGCAACCAGTTACAGTTGGTTTGGTTTCAGTTACTTTCTTGTCAGCCCATACAAGAGAAATTAGTACATAAAAAACTCAGACTGTGACACAGCTTGTCATAGTGACATATCAAATGTGGAAATAATAACTCTTATAGCAGTAAGTGTAGGAGTTTACTGATCAGTAACTTAAATGCTAAGGTTGCAAATAGAGACAAGATTCAGTACGTTATGGTAGACGCACATGTCCTACATAAGAGCAGGGTGCTGAATAAGTTACCATTTGATCCAGTAAATCACCAAAGTCTGTTGAGGGACAAAACTAATTCAAACAGTTAATCAAATAAAACAGTAAGAAAGCAATATTTAGCAAATGCAACTAGGCTTTAAGAGTAGCTTCCTGATTCAAATCATGGGATCCAATATGTTATATAATAATATAGGAGTTTGAAAAATAAAATGCCTAAAATAAATTGAAATAAAAACATTAATCACGGCAAAGGAAATTTCTTAGTTGAAGGAGAGGCAATCTCCTTCATAGGAAAAATAGCTCTTTGCATTCTTGCTGCACAACTGCACATATGTTTTGCACTCACACAGTAACATAAGACATACTGCAATTACATACAGAAAATACAACCATAAACTACTACACAAGAGAAGGAGTGACCTCTAGAGTACCAGCTGTGTATTAAGGAGCAGTATGAAGAAATCACAACTGAGTGTCTGATTTCTGTGTTTCAGGAAAAGTCTCAGAGAGTTATCTCAAAATATGAGGGGTAAGCTTTACCAGAAACAGAACTAGCACCACTGGTTCTTCTGGGTGATGCGCTGCTCCGTCTCCGTTCACTGTCATACAAGTGCAGAGTGCTGTGGTCCTCTCGGACACCCAATACATCCAGTGACCTGCAAAGTTATCACAACATCATGAATTTGGTAATTTCTAAAAAGTTCTCTTCAGAATTAAGCACCTGTCACAGCATAAGGTACAAAAAGCTCACTGAAATATATTCTGAGCCAGCTAAAATCAGAGCATATTTTCACACTCTCTTCCTCTAAGATCCATTTTAATATTAGCTTATATTCTACACCTAGATTACCCAGGTGGCCTCTTCCTTAGAGAATTCCTGACTGAAATTACATACGCATTTCTAATTTCTCTGTTGAACACTACATGTGTCACCAAACTAACACTCCTTGATTCAACTGCCATAGCAATATTAAGCAAAGGAGTATAATTTATGAACTTCCATATTATGCCATTTTTCTATCCTTATATTACTTCCTATTCCTTAGATCCAAATAGTCTCCCCATCACTGTCCTGGAAAAAAAAAATCATGAAGAATGCTTTAATGTCCCATAAACTGAGAACTGTTTTAGTTTAAAATTTGTAGAAAAGCAGTGAGAATGAATGTGCTAATTTTTCCTTGGGCGATAAGTTGTGTCATTGTGAACTGAAATTTCAAACATTTCAAAGATTCTGTCTATTTCCATCATCAGGATAGATGTGGTAAGTGACCATGTATCACTGATATTTATAACAGTCTGTCAAATCATCGCCTCTTCCTATTAGCATATTAGGTAGAATAAGGACTCAGTCAAACTTTGTGGTTAACCATCCAACTCTAACCTATAACCATGTCGCTTAACCTGGTGTTCCTGTTTCCAATTACTTTGTTTTCTTTTGAGGGTGAACTTCTCTGTGTCTTCTTGGGATTTTCATGATATGTGTGTTTGAGTACCTTAATCATCTGGTACTGTGATTCCATGCTTTGCTGAGTTTGAAACCTTTCTCTCTGCTTTCATTGCGCTGATGTAATTTTTTCTATACAAATTCTACAGAAACTTCTTAAAAACTGGATAGGTCTGACTGTTGTGTTGATATTCTTAAGAATTTTCTACATGACTATAGTGCTTCATCTCTTTTCCAGTTGTTTTAACTAATTCAGACATTTAATTAGCATTTTTGAATACTATGCATAATTTAACGTTTTAACACATTTTACAATATAATAATTAAAAGACCAAGATAGGAAATATTTTAAATTACATTATATAGATCTTGATTTATAGCTGCATAAGATGTTCTAATTTTGAATTACTTTCAATTAAAGACATATAACTTTCATGTATGCAGATAAAATATTTGTTAGCTTCAAGATATTAAACGAAATGATGGGAAGCAGGGACTCACATAATAGACCCAGCTGTGCTTGTCTGAGCTTCTGGTGGATCTGCATTGTAGAAAACCTTCTTCAGTGCTTCAAGTACTGTTACACCATCTGTGAATACTCGATACGTCAACAGAAATGTGTTTAAGAAGTCAATAGAGAGGAACCGCAAGTCTGTGAGCCTCTCCAGGAGTCGTTCTGGTGTGGCGTATCGAATCTGGGGCACCTGCAAAACCACAGGCAAATTGGATAAAATTGTTAGAAATGTCATAGGAATGATATCACTGGTATAGGTTAAGCAGTTATACCCAGTTAAAGTTATGCTGAAGGGGCAGTAACTTAGCAGTAAGGATATTTTTTGCATTTCCACTGGAATGTTATACAGTATGTCACACAATGTTTTGGTTCATGGGTTATACATTTTTAGGCACTTTATTATATTGATAAAATATAAAGAAGTTTTATTTTCATTTAGGTCTTCTAGAGTGTGTTGAACATAAAACCCGAAACTTGCCCTCTTTCATTATCGTCTTTATCAGATTTTGATTAATTTCATTCTGTTCTCAAAATATACTAATTCTCATTCACGATTAGAAAAATACGCTTCATGTGAAAGTATTTTTTTAGGCATCTTATGGCAAATGTTAGAAATTTAAGTTTCGTATTACTTTGTGGAAGTGATCTGTAAACTGAACATTTTTGCTCTCTTCAGTTTTATCTCCAGCCTACAGCTCAGAAGATAAAATTCTCTCAAATATTTTTAAGCACCCAGTAATAATATTTTAAAATTAGGCTGGTGAGAAATTCTCCATTTTTCTCACCAAGATTCAGAACATAGAAGAAAATAACTGAACTGGAATTTGAACTCATGCCCATTTCCTGTCCCTTTGTGTGTGTGTGTGTGTATGTGTGAGCATGCGTCTGCATGTGTAAATATATATACATTCTAAGTTTCAAATCTTAATTCCACCTGGAAGTGTCTTAAAAGTGTGTAAGACATTTGGGAATTACTACATAATATGACGGTGTTATGTAAAAGATAATGTAGGAACAAGCTTACCCATAATTGAACAACAGGAGCACAATATAATGTAATACAGATTGCCAAATTATTTTTTGAAAAAGGGTTATGTCAGAAGCTTTTAGGAAATATCCAGCACTTTGTACTTTTAATGTGTATAAACCTAAGAGAGTCAAACCATGCAGGCAGCTCTGTCTTACTTTGCATTGAACTTCCCACATTTTTGTTGTTATTAACAAAATTTTCTCTATGAAACAGACCAATACTATCTAGACACGAGAGTACATGATAGTTCTTACATTTTCTTGGACTGTCCTTGTTACAGGAACATTTCCTTTGTGTTATGTGTGAGGAAGAATGTTTGGGCTGGTATGCATAATATAAGTTTACAGACTTACCTAATTTGTGTTCAGAATGAGGCTTTCAAAGAACTGCTGAAGTTACTGTCTGAATTTTTCTGCATAAAAGACTTCCAGATTATACAGTTTACCAAACAGGAAATAATTTATGTGTAGCATATTCAAGTAAAACATTACCAACATGCCATGCTGTACAGTTTTTTGTTCTATTAAAAACTGAAAATTCCATGTGTGAAGAATGCCAGAACAATCAACTGCAATACTGATTTATTATAAAAAGATAATTAGTGACCATATAATTCAAGACATTCTACACATACCTAATCAAGAACTGGTATTTCAACCCTTTGTTTACTCCAAGAGCAAATGAGAAATTACAGACAAGTTGCCATACCTTGCAGGAATTGAGGGTACGACTGAAGCGAATGTCCACATCATCCTTGAACAGCCTGGGATCATTTTTGATGGATTGTGGCATGGTGACTGATGACGTGTCTGACATTGAACTATGCAGCAAGTCATTGAAGTGAACGTTGTCCATGCACTAAAACATTTTCCTTTTTGTACTCCTCAGCTTAACACATTTTCCATTGTTTAACACATAGTTTGTTCCTAAAATATGCTGGTTAAAATCACAATGCATCTTTCATTCTGAAATTTTGTGATATAAATACACTCTCAACATGTAGTGAGTCAGAAAAGAGCTGTTTTCGAAATTCTGTGAGACATGATAGCATGCCACAAAGGACAACTAAAATAACACTGAATTACTCATGTGATGACAAACTTTGTTACTGCATACCGTTATCTCAGAAAAATTGTTTCCTTTGGCTTTTCTTGATGATACAAGGTGTATGTTAGATAAATTTCTATACATTAAACAAAATTTTTTCTAAATAATTGCTTCTGAAATCATGGTGTACTTTGATGATCAGCAAATGTGAAACATGTTATCATATGAGAAAATAACATTACACTTATTGAGCCAAATATTATAGCTAATGACTTTTAATACTCTAAACTTTTCTAACTGCTTAGAAGTTATCAGTATGCTTAGCATTAAGCTATGAAGGAGAAGAGAATACTATTTTGAAGCTCCGTGCATTCATATTCATTAACAATCATGGCATTAGACAGAAGTAAAGAGTCAGCTTCAAACTCCAACTGCCAATAGTCCACAATATCCACTGACCATTAAACTGAATTCAAAAGAAGAATATTGTATTTCAGCATCGTGTTGCAATTGTTTAACTTAATGTCCATGTATTTATCATCCGTCAATATTGCAACACTTGTGTATTCACTACTTAATTTTCATTTTAGTTTAACATTATACAGTTTGACAAAACATGTTTTGGCCCCAAACAACCATCTTTAGGTGTCTTGATATGTTACAAATATTTTATTAAATTATGTTAAAACTGCTATACTGTCTTAGTCTGTGTTAAAATCACATGCTGTAGTCCTCTTTTCAAGGTAAAACCAGATAAAATCCTTTAAAGTTTCTCTTATACCCACGTTATTTTGGTGCATACATGGACGTTAAGTCAAAAGAACTTTGTAATAAAAGGCAGATGGCAAATGTTACCAAGTTTCAAAAGTACTTGACACTACATTTTAAGATTCCAGTAGATTATATCTCACATATTCATCATTCACATATGTCAGAACACATTTCATATATAAAATAGATTTGAGAACCAAGAAAAAAATACATCCAAAAGTTTGCAAAAAGAAAAATGATTAATAAGGGTTCAGAAAGCTGCAAATAGATCATAAGGAAAGAAAATATGGAGATATGAGCTGAACCAAACTGGTTAAGCATAGAAGGAGAGTAGTAATGCTTCAGGGTGTGCAGGGGAAATAATAACAGGAAACAAAATGTGAAGGTTGTACACAACCACAAGGAACAGTCTATGAGTATTATAAAATGTCCTTAAGAATTGTGTCAAAACCAAAAACTGGCAAGATGTTGCTTTTATTACAACTATATGCATGAAAACAGAATTTACACCCTAGATTGAATCAGTACATGATTAACTGAAGACAAATTGGTTGAAATTGTGAGGAATATGGCTGTCTTTTCCATGGAAAGATATCACTATAAATCAAATAACTAAAATACCTGGCTGATATCACTGATCCAAGCAGCTTTTTCCTGCATGGTGGGTGCAACAAGGTGCACAACCACCTGTGGAAACCCTGTCTTCACATCAATGACGATTTTGAAGTCGCGATTGTGAAGGTGACAGCTGCCGCTTGAAGTCTCACTGATTCCACTTGACTGACTTGACATTGAACAGACAGATGACTCTGTAGAAAAAATTTAATGCCGCAACTATCATTACTTTCTAGAACTATTCAAGAAGCAGTTGTGTTGTTACACAAATTCCTAGAAATTCTCAGCTATAGGATTTCAGACTTTATTTCTTTTTTTCATTTTATCACATGTCATTGGAACCTATATAACATGCTATAATTACTTTTTCATAATAAAAATGCAACAGAGTTTAAAAAGCATGTCATGAAGTCATATAGAGGGAGTAAAATACATGAATTCTGAACACTGTATTGAGGTGAATGGACATCTTCATGCTCTTGTCACTTTGCCCCATGAAAAGGAGACACATGTACACAGCTGGATAAAAAAAAATTGTTTTGGAATGTTCTATAAATTTCGTTATTTGTGTAATTTGATGTTTGCAGGTATTACTACGTGCCAGATATTTCTGAATTAATAACTAAAGCACTGCATTCCATGATCACAGATTTATACTGGTTTCATATCATAATTATTTGCCAAGATGCTTGCTCCATTAGGAAGTTCAGATGCAGGATGTGTGATCAATTTGTCCTGCAGAGAGTAAGATTTCCTACTTGTTATATGTTTCTTAATTGTAAGTGACAATTCTTATTATACTAATTATGTGGATATCCTTTTGATGTGAATTATATTAAAATTTCTTTATTTCCTTTCATGCAAAACGAGAACTTCCCCTTGCCATATGCCTCTGTTATTTCCAATATAAAAACTCCACATTAAGAAGTTAAACTAGGCAAAACAGAAAATTATGTACACTTAAAAGTGCAGAGTACATATGAAAGCAACAGTAAGTGAAACTTTATAAGGTAAAATTTTCTTTCTGATACTAAAAGAAAAAGCACATGTTTCAGTGGCTAGTGAAAATGAAAATTCAGTCTATTATATCTTATTTTCATTACATGAAACGTTAAGATAAGTTCAGAAGATGTTAGATTTATGAACTTCTGATAGCAATAAACATTTTGACAACTACGAGAAATGGTGGACTTTTCTGTCATGTAGCATATGTTCAAAAATGTGCCACTAAACAGAAAGACTGAGCCAAATCTGTGAGGAAAGTATCTGGTTCTTCACTGCACCCATGAGATAAGCTCATCATAAGTACAAGAATGAGTTAAGAGATGATGTCAAGTTCTGTTTCAGAATAAACATAAACACCATCAGGGAAACACTTAATGAGAGAAACATTTTGTAGCAAAATACAAACAAAATAAAAGATAATCAAAGATAACAGTATCAGTATTCTAACTTCAGGAAGCTATTCTATATGTTGCTGCTTTGAAAAAATTTATGTCAAAGAGAGGTGAAATTACATATTTGGATATTTCTGTGGTCACTCTTAAACTGTAGCAATATCTGCATATTATTTAGAAAGGGTGGAGAAAGATGATGGCAAATTTGATTTTAAATGGAAGATATTTGGTCAGAATAATGCCTATAGACTCACAAAATTCCATGGAAAAAGTTGACAAAGTCACACAACTGTCAAAGCATAATAAATGCTAACCATCGTCATCATTTACGCCGTGGTCACTCGGATCCTCAATGAGCAGTGCATCAGCCAAAGGGATCTTGCCGATTTCAGGAACAAGGTGAAGTCGCCCTCCGGAAGTTCTGAAATTAAACAACAATATCTGCTATATCAATCAAATCTCACTTTTACCCACAAAATAAGTATCTTTCCTTTCCTATTAATTAGGCACGATAGATCACTGTGGTCGTGGTGCAAGGGTCAAGAAGGCCCACCCCTTATACATTCATTCATTCATATTAATTAACAAAAGATCGTTGCATATGATATTTTATGGTCCCAGATGCTTACAAATCAAATAATATACACAATGCTTTGACTTACACCCTGTGTATGACCTGGTTACATCTTTAATCACAACTTGAAATCACTGGAATATATGAATGAAAGAGGGATGGATTTTTAATTTAGAGGAAGGAAGAACTGTAATAATAAGGAACCTCAGTAACAGCTGCATATCATCAATTTTACAAGTGACAGCATTTAAAAATATCTACGGAGAGGGGATATGTAGTATAGCAGCTAACATATTTGTTCTATACATCCAGAAATTGTTTTCTAAACAATTTGTTTGATTTATATTATGACAGATATTTTTAAATTTGCCTAGGAAATTCTAGATTAATATCGCTGAAATAATATTAAAACCAGTGACTTTTCAATGTCCTTCTATTCATATACCACTGCCATATTATACTGTAAAAGGTGTGAGACTTTTAAAAACAGGAAAAAAAATATGAAGTTTAAATTTATTTATTGTAAAGTATACTGATGAAAGTACTAATTAAATTAATGGAAACAGAATTTTAAAAAAATTCTTCGCATTCTAACTTTGTCTTGTATGTGTGAACGTCACAAAATTTTTGAATGTGGAGTAACAAATTTCCAGTTCTTCTGCATTAGAGATAACTAAACTCCCTAATTAAAATAAAGCACAGAAATCATCAACCATAACATGTTTCTGTGCTGGAAATACACATGCCAAAGTGTGATGCAAATACAGGAATCAGTGTGACATGTTACATTTTCTGCCCAATACTGCAGATTGCGTTCTGGTAGAATGGCAATATAAGTGATGATACTGGCTGCTTTAAGACGCTTTCTTTATTGTTATTTGTACATATATGAAAGGCAGGCGATAAAGGAAACATGCCATCAGCACTAATGTTTATCTGAATAAAATACCACTAAAATTAACATACATTTAGAAAATGTACTTATGTGGGAGCAAGTTTAAAATTTAGAAATGAGAATAATTATGATTAAGTCACAAACTGTAGCTCTGTCAGTTATTAAAAATGCTTTCAGTATCATATATTATATGGCATAAAATCGTAAGATGACAGATGAATTGCAAAAGATATGAAAGTGACTAATTCAAGTACCCTCTCAGGAATAGTCAGGAGATGTTGAGAAACCCCACAAAAATCCTCAGTAGATCCAGAATGCCTGCCGAGATTCGAATCAAGTACTTCTTGAATACAAATCTAGATTGTTACTGCCTATTAGTATTCTGTTGAACAATTGTTAACACTCCATTTACTTTAAAAAATTATTTAAATTCTTGTGTGTGCAAAACAATTTCGCACCTTGTTTTGGATAGGCATGGAACATGGTTCATGACAGTGAAGGAAGAACATAAATTACTATTATCTTAAAAGTACCTGAAAATATTTGGCCTTATAAACAGATTAAATAACTGGGCAATGTAGGAGCAAAAAAACTTGACTTGCACAAATCCCCTAATGTTATCAACACAGCAAAATCTACTGGGTTTATGGTTAAGATCGGGGGGGGG